ACGTTTTTTCTAACTTACTTTTACACCTTCATACCTAAGTTTTGCATTTCCTTAATAAAATTTTGCATCCTCGAGCTAAACTTTGCACCTTTCTTTTCTGATTTTCTTGTTTTCTTTTTTACTTCTCAACTTACGTTTCCCTTGGCTAGGTTCTGCTTTCGTGGAATTCTACTCGATTGCGACTGTCATACTCTCTGTTAAATTTGCAACGACAAGTCTGTTGAGGCTACTTGAAAATATGTGAAGGCAGTCTTCCCTTGCCACCTATTCTCCACTACCCGTCTTTTTTTCGTTTTTTGTAAAAAGTTGAAAAAAGTTTAAGATTTCCCAAAACGAATAAAAAACGAACGGGCAATGGGATGGCCGTGGTGGAGTCAGCAGCTTCATGTAAATCAGTCCACTGGCGATCATCGCTGTCCAGTGCTTTCGGCTTCAGGAATGACTGTGTATCTTCACCGATGTATAAATTAGGATGTGCTATTCCAACGGGTATGTTGTCCGAACGTGATCGCTTTGCACTGCTGCTGTTATTCAGCAAAAAACCACTCTGGATGCTATAGGTGTCAAGATTTCCTGTCGATGATTTGCCTGAAAGGAAGGGCTAAAATGACTGCTGATTTCGTATGCCAATTCCGTTAAAATGTTGTCCTTCCAGAAAACTTGCCAAATGTCAAAATCAGATTTTGATATATACGCAAACAGATACCCGTACCAATAAGTGCATAAAAAATAACGCACTAGAGCGATTTTCGTATTATGACAACAGTATATGTATTTAAGTATGTACTGTCCATAGGCATGCATTTACTCTACAACTACGTAAGTACGGAAGCGAAGTGCCAAAAAGGGAAGTATTCTGTACGCAGCTATCGACCACGAGCAAAAGTCGTGAAGCGGAATTTAACCCGCAGATTTCTCTGACTTTTTAACCATGTTCGGAGGCGAATATTCATAATTACGCGAGAAAAAAATGGGAGAGGGATAACGAAACTAAAATCAATGATCTGAAATTATCAGCCAAGTCATAAAAACTATTAAAAAGCAAAATCCCGTCGAAAATGCTAACGATATTCACCAACCGCGCGCTAAAAAAGAGTCGCAAAAGCGCAAAACTGCGACAGTCCTT